GCTATTAATGGGCCACCAGTGGTTTGTCCCACAGTCTCTGAGACACTGAGAGCCCAGTAGTGGACTAGACCCTGACAGTTACTAGGCCAGCAGAGTAGTGATTACAGAGGTTGACAGATAAAAAATTCCAACAAGTTTTATCTATCATAATTATACTGGCAACTTACTATTTTAAATTTAAATGTTTGATTATGGGAAAGTTAAAATATATATAAAAATAGAACACTATAATGAACCCCATGTACCATCACTGAGTTTCAATAATTAGCCAATCATGTTTCATCTATACCTTCTACCCACTTACTAGCACCCATATTATTCTGAAACAAGTTCTAGATCATATCATTTCACCTGTAAATATCTCAATACTAGTGGCCCGGTGCACGGATTCGTGCACATTGAAAGGAAATTAATTAGAAGAAATATTTTAATATCGCTATTCACCCTTTCTCTATAATAGAAGTGTCAGAGATGAAAGAAAATTAGTAAAATGTACATGAAAATAATATATAAATTCATTAACAAATAAACAATAACAACATGATATAACAACAAAGACATATGAAAACAACAAAAAGATGTAAAAACAACAAAAACATGATATAAAAACAACTGATAAAAAATGACTGATAAATTGATTAAACTTATTCTAATATCTCCCTGTATACCACATTAAGAGTAAAAACACTTTCAGAGTGCTTGACTAATTTCCCTTGTGATGAAGTATTTACAACTTTAACGTCACACGCTCTTCGAACTTGAGAGAAAGCAACAAATAACTCCATTTCACCGGAGAAATTTAGGGATAGGCAAAATTGACATGTAACACCACATGTGTTACATTCCACCACAACTGTGTTCGCTAACTGCATCCTCATTTACCTCATTTTCGCTATGAAGGCAGTTCCTATCAGTACTGGTAGTACTTGTTGATGACTGTTCTTTATACATTTTCTGTCCACGACGCCGGCTCCTTTCAGCTGCAGAGGTGCGTTGTGCCAATCGTTGTTCTTCAGCATTTCCTGCCAGCACCACTTTCTTTCGGCATTGTCGTCAGCAATTAGTCTGACAAGAGTCCTCTTTGTACCGTCTTTGTTCTGTGCCCCGCTGTGCTTAACAGAAGCATAGAGAGCGATGGGCACTGGAGCTGAGACTGGCTCCTGGCTCACAGAAACTGTAGTCGTTTTATCCACTGAATTATCATCTTCAACTTCAGAATCCTCAATGACATCACTGATTTTCTGCCATGGCTCCAGCTCCTCCTCCTCACATTCCATGAACAGGCCCGCGTCCGCCTTGCTCCCGGTGTCCACCATGCTCCCGTGGTTGCCGCCGGCAGTCTGACCCGGAGAAGGCGCCACTGCCTTAAGAGACCTTATGTTTAAACGGTAAACACCGCTGAAGTTTGACTCTTAGCACGGCCCAGTAGGAGCTGCCAAAGAGCAATGAGGTACTATTGGCGCGAACCTAATAATAACCAAGTAGTCCTCTTCATTTACTTCCTAAACCTCCACACAATACTACTTCCGTTACCACTTCCGGTTCTTCCAAAGTATTGAGCTTCTCTGGGTCTCGGATAGTTCTAATCAAATCATAAACCTCTAGCGCTTTCTCTTCCATGATCCGGGGCTGCCGGTCAGCTCCCCGCTCAAAGAGGCCTGAGAGCCACAGGGCCCTGCTCAGCTCCAGGAGAGCAGCCCCGACACCTGCTTCCTCCTCATGCCCCGCCATCCCTGGCGACTGTCCCACCGATTTATCAACTTCCTGGTTTCCAAACGGGCCGAGACCAACCTAAAAGTGTCCAGGGGAGCAGGGAATGGGCCTAAAGTTCTAATTTGAATCTGCTCCTGTTTGATACAATAATGCATACCACATACAGTTCCATTTGTATTGACTAAAGGAGAGAAGTTGGGGTGGGAAGAAAGAAAATATTACTTAGCAAACAAGAGAAGTGAACACTAGCCCTTATGTGAAAATCTTGGGAAGATACTCATTGCTATTGAAAGCTTCACTTACCTCTAGCTCAGTTGATGTGACCTATCAAAGGAGTGGGTTTGTGTCAAATCAAAATGATTCCTTTTGGTGTTTCTTTCCCTCTTTCAAATAGTGACCCACTTTATGTTGTTCCATTTGCTTAATATGTGCCTCTTCCAGATGCCCTGTTTTATATCAGAAATGAAGGGAGCTGCTCTGCAAGGGTCTCCCTCTTGGGAGGTAAATGAAATAGCTCACATATGTCTGATTTAGGTCTTCTTCGGGAACAGTGTTCTGTGGCCCAAGATGATCAGAGGGCACAGTATTACAGATTTGGTATAAACCTGCCCATTCTGGGGAGATAGTAACATAATTCAATCTTTCTAATATATACTGCCTTTTCTGTACCAGACACTAAGTACTGTGGAAGATACAAAGATCTGACATATGGTTCCTGCAGTCCCCAATGACATTTTCTAATATCTAACACACAGTAGGAAATTACAAGTATCCCAAGCACTATGAGTTTAGAAGTTACATCCAGCTACAGTTGGAGCTGGAAGGCGGGAATGGGGTCAGTTCAGTGACAATGTCATAAAGGGTTTGTAAAGATAGGACAGGGCAGGGACTCTTGGAAAGGAAAGGATAGAGAAATTGTACGCCTCTACGCCTTTAGAGCATAGAGCAGATGGAAAAGAAGTTTTACCATTAGCTAAAGTCAAAATATTTGACTACAAGCACAATAATTAATAATCAAATAGGTTACACCTAATATATCAATATTTTACCTCTAAACCAAATCATTCAGTCTAACCACAAGAAATTTATATACAAAGAAAACTTACAAACGGAAGTGGAATTACTAAAATGCCCTGGAAAATAACACATATACACATACCCCATACAGAAAAAAGAAATATTTTTGTTTGTTTCCTAATCATAGTGAGGTGTGGGGAAAATGTTCATTTAAACTCCAGCTTCATCAATGTACAGCTATCACAGAGTTCTTTTAGGCCTTCAGTGTAATAATGATACAGGATGAATCCCTGGCATTTTGTTTTAAAACCCACAAATGAGACGGTAATATGGCCAGCTGCAGCTCCCTTCCTGAATTTCAGAAGCTCTGGGTGTCGCACACATGCAGCTCTGTATCACTTCACACAAAAGACTGGAAATTGGCCAAGAAGCCTCTGTGTGGTATGTATTCCCCAAGGTTTAAGAACTGCCATTTAATTACAATTAGCCATAAAATGACATGTACTTTTAGGACATTATCCCAATATAAAACAAATTCATTTCAAATTTATTTAATGAAGTTACTCCTCCAAAATGCAATATATAAAGACAGTAAAGTATATAACCTATATTTTTAAAGAGACCTATAATTATAATTCCATTCCATTAAGATAATTCTTAAAATTTCCTCAGATTACTATTTCCTTATAATCTTACCAACAGCAAGAAAGCCCACCACACACAGAGATTTAACTGTATTTGTAAACTTTTCCATAAGCAGTTCATGCACATTGCTAACTAAAAATCAAGATGAATGAATGTTTTAACATCTGGTACATGTAGGTTGACATGACCAACAACAATGAATGTGAGATAGATACCTCAAGAATGATCTTATTTTCTGCTGTCTTACAACCCTATAGAAACGCATGGGTCTATCAATTAGGTAGCTACATCATTCTAGTATGTAAGTTTTCTGAGGAAAAGGGGGAAAAAATAAAGAAAACACTTCAACAGCTTGGCCAATACTTAACTTTCATAGAAAGGAGTGTTTTACAAGAGCAAATAATAAACTGAGCACTAGCCTTTGTGTGAAAAGCTTGGGGAGATTTTCATCTTTATTGAAATCTTCATCTACCTCTAGCTTCTCTTTCTCCCGTGGCTGGACATCTTCCACACAAAGGATCACTGATATATTAGTGGTCTGAATGACTGAACCTTAAGATGTTATATTCAACAGTTACAAGTTAATAATGTTAAGCCTGTCAAAATTTAAGACTTAGGAAGCCAACTGACCTTTTTTTCCTCCTTTTGATGGACATCTTTCTATAATACAACTATCAACTAAAGATGATGTAGAAAGGATTAGCACACAACTTCAGTAGAAAGTGTGAATTCAACATATTTGGAGTTTAAATTTCCACCCTGCCTAGTATCACTTCATATGACAGTCAAGGGCTATACGGGAAAAACAAACACACACAAAAACCTTCCTAAGAAATCCTTTAACTGGCCTTTCCCACTTCAATGTCAAAAACCTTTTGAATTGAGTAAACTGATTAAAATAAGAATTGTTCATCATAATTTTCTAGTCAAGGAAAGAAATTTGTTTCACACCAAAGTTAAAATTGCAAAATACACTGACTTTCTAAGGATATGGATTGTTAAACATCACTGTAATCTAAATAACCTAGATCTAAGTAGTTCTAAAAAGAGATACTTAACTTCATTGTCATTTATATGAAAATCTCCCCCTAAAGGATTTGATATTTTAAAAAATAGCTACACATGAAATTTCTGACATTCATCTGCAGAGGAATAGGAGAATGGAGCTATTCTGGGAGAGGGGACACTGTCACAGTAGTTTTTTATACAAAGAAATTAAATTTTTAGGGATTATGTAACAAAATGTTAACTTGCACCGTAGAAACATGGTTTTGTATCATATTCTTCAATTAAGAACAAAATAAGGAAAAAAGGAATTGTAATGAACAACAAAGAAATAAGATACTTTTCATTTTCCTAAAGATTATTGGGATAGCCAAGAACATAAGGTAGGAAAGAAGAGGGGGCCAGAAGTTAAAAGGAACAATGCAAAGTAAAAGCTAAGTGAATAGGATAGGCATTTCCTGATGGCTCCAGGCCCATGAGTGAATCCTAACAGAACTAAAAGGAGGTGTTGGCAGTAGCAACTGGCTTAGAGATTGGTGAGGAAGGGGAGCGAGGAAATGAAAAAACACTTGCACACTCATAGAAAGAAATATCATTTTCAGGAAAATATTAATACTTACCAGTATGTACTGTAGCTACTACAATCCATACACACTGTGTGCTGAGCTTTATCTTGTTTTTCTGATTTCTTATGGTTGGTTAAGGGTACTTGTGCATCTTCATAATGCTTCTTTGCATGGCCATTCACATACCTTACAAAAACCAAATGAAAAATTATTTTAATCTAAATATTGCTTTGGAAGTTAAAGTAGTAGGAGATGATGATAAAATTAGATGGTAAACAAACCAGAATAAGAAAGAATTCCTGCCCTGACTGGTTTGGCTCAGTGGATGGAGCGTCAGCCTGCGGACTCAAGGGTCCCAGGTTCAATTCCGGTCGGGGGCATGTGCCTTGGTTGCGGGCACATCCCCAGTGGGGGGTGTGCAGGAGGCGGCTGATCAATGTTTCTCTCTCATCGATGTTTCTAGCTCTCTATCCCTCTCCCTTACTCTCTGTAAAAAATCAATAAAATATATTTTAAAAAAGAAAGAATTCCTCCTTATAAGAACATTCAATCATTTAGTTATTTATTAAGTTGAATACTTAAAATATGCTCCTTTTTCTGCAAATATGACAATCAACTTTTAATTACAGCAATATACAAGGTAATCAAAGGTTGACTAGTCATAAATATTTTGTAACACTTTCCAACTCAGATTTAGTAAATCACTGTATTACAGAAAGCAGAATGAAACAGTTTGAAATAAGTGTTCATATGCACCCAAATTCATCTACACTTTCACCTCAATACTGTACAATGCTGTAACTAACCACAACTGTGAAGACCCTTATAAAACAAAACCTCCCAGTACCTAAAAAAGCAGCCAATTTGTAGAAGGCAAGGCCTAATTGAAAACTCTGAACCGTCAAAACAAATGTTGGTTAAATGGTACCAAAATAAACATGCTCAGAGTTAAGGTGACATTTTTGTCATGAGGCACCTTAATTGTACCAGGAGCAACACTTACCTTGTGGTAAGTAGGAAAGATCAACTTCAAGCCCAGCCTCTCCATCCCACAAAGCTGGAAGTGACAAGGGCACTACTAATCTCAACTCAAAATTTGATCATGTTGTTTTCCCATTTTTTCATTGAAGTAAACATAACCAACATTTGTATGTAGTACATGAGTCCTCTGTCCACAAAAGTGGATTAAAGTGAATTTTTAAATAAAATAATGGTTAAGAGTATAAACTCAAAAACTAGACTGCCTGAGTTCAAAAGTAGGCTTTGTCCACATGCTGTCCATGTGAGTTTGGGTGAGTCATTTAACCTCTCTGTACTTATGTTTCTCATGTGTAAAATGGAGATAACAGTGCTCAGATCTCATACACCAAGCATGTCAAATTCATGGCCCACAACAAATATTTTTGCGGCCTAGCCAATATAACGGTATGTAAGAAATGTTTTAATAAAAATTTCGTAACTTAATTTTTACAATATCCTGTTATGCATAATTACTAATAACGAACTACAATGTTCGCTAATGACTGATTACTATAATCGTGTTGCATTCATTCATTTCCCTTACGCGCCTTATGCACAGGTGCACCATTTCTCTCCACTAATACTAGCAGCAATTATTTTAGCAGCTGATTGTCACGTCATTAGTCTTGGGCTAACTTGTTTGGTGTGCGCAACAGGAAATACTTCGCTTTCGGAGAACAAGAAAAATAGGTTTATTTGCATTACGCTTGTTAATTTGTACAGTTATTCAGTGTCTGGTAAGTTAATGTTCAAAAAAATATTACTTTTTATTAAAATGTCGTATTATTTTATGTTAACGATTACTCATTTATTTCAGCCCTTTGTATTCAGCATGTCTCTATCAAAATAAACCTATGTTTCTATGAAAATTGAAGCTTTTGTTTTTTTATGGCCCACATAAACTTAAACCTCATTTGGCCCGTGTTAGCCTTTGAGTTTGACATGCTTGTCATACACTGTTAAGTGATTAAATTAAATAATGCATGGCTCAGAATGCATGCATGAATAAGTGAGTATTAGTAATTATTTTATTCATGTTTTCCTTTATATGTTTAACTACTATTTATTCAGAATCCAAACAGCATAATTATTTTAAAAGTGGTAATATTAAGCACATACTTTGAGATGACATATTGCACAGGTCAAGAAACACCCAATATTTAATTAAAAAGGTAAACACCAAGGTGTAATATAGGCTTAAAAACTAACCAGCTCAATTTCTAATGTTTATATATATTTATTCTGTGCCATGAAAAGAATAACATTTATGAGTGCCTTTGAAATCAAAGAAAAGGTAATACTGAACAATAATAATAAAGGCATTACTACTTGAAGTCTTTGAAAACTGATTATCTGTACATTGTACATATGGTTCATCTGGCCACCACACTGTGGTCTCCAAATAGACTAGACTAGAGGCCCGGTGCACGAATTTGTGCACCAGTGGGGTCCCTCGGCCTGGCCTGTGGGATCGAGCTGAAACCAGGTCTCTGACATCCCCCGAGGGGCCCCAGATTGCAAAATGGCACAGGTCAGGCCGAGGGACCCCACCAGTGTATGATCGGGGCTGGGGAGGGACTCAGGAGGTTGGCCAGCCAGGGAGGGACCACAGGAGGGCTCCAGGGCATGTCCAGCCCATCTCGCTCAGTCCTGATTGGCCGGATCCCAGCAGCAAGTTAACCTACTGGTCAGAGCGTCTGCCCCCTGGTGGTTAGTGCACATCACAGCAAGAGGTTGAGCGGCCTTAGCATATCATTGGCATATTACACTTTGATGGGTTGAATGGCTGACCGGTTGACCGGACACTTAGCATATTAGGCTTTTATTATATAGTATGTTTAAATGTTACTGTAAATGTCAGTGATAAAGTAAGAAATGTATTACTGCCAATATTAAGATTAGCAATGTTTTGGCTAATACTCAAATACATCAGTCAGATGTTAACAGTTTTGTATAAAAAAATGGCTAATATAAAAATAAGTATTTCCCTCAACTAGTTTTAGATTTTAACTAGGCAATTTGGTCTAAAAAGGAAAATGTCAATATATGTCACACATTTCTAACAACAAGCACAAAAATTTTGTAGATAACTTAAATGGGATGGTATTATGAAGACCAATAAATATATAACTCAAGTATGCTGACAAACTGTTTCCTAGTTGAAAAATATTCAATTTAAGACTTCCCTATGGACAAGTGGTCTAAAATTATTATAATCAGAATCCGTGGCAATTAACACATAATAAAAGGGAATTAACCAATCAGCTATGTAAAATGAAAATCCAAATGCAGGCTACTCTCATCTGTTTAATCTACTTAATCATATTTTTCTGCAACTATATAAAATATTTAAATTTAAGATTGCTTGCAAATGGAAACAGACTACCTGCATAGTCTAGGAAATTTTCAATTTATTTTCTCAAAACCTGCTTAGAGAATTGTTTATTGCTTGCTATTAAGAACATTAATATCTCCAATTTTTTAGTTTGTCAGGTCTTTTTGTTGGCATATGACCTTTAAGATTTAGGTTGTAGAGCACTATGAGACAACTGGAGAACAGAACTATATAAATTTTATTGCATTATAATTCTCACCTCTCAAAATCTAGGAGAGGAATCTGTCTCTTCAAGTGCAGAATTTAAGTGCTTGTACATTTCTTCTGTTTTAAAAAAGTGTTATCTGTACAAAGTATTTTCAGGCTCCCCAAATCCTAGAGATTTCAAAACCACAACAGCCAAAATTAAGAAAGATATGCAGTTAACATTTTCCAAAGGTACTCTTAAGTGTACATGGAAAAAAAATACTACATTTCAGGGTTCAAAATGTAAAAAATCAAGTTAACTGAACAAAGATGCTCTCTACATGCAATGAGGGTTTTAAAATAACAATGGGGAAACAGTCCTAATAAATATGATATAGATTTCAGCCTGTGTGACTTAGTATAATTTCCCATCTCCTGCTGCTAAGCTTTTAACTCTGAAGCAAAGTCAAAGTGGATTTTTTAAACTACAAGAACAATAGATATAAATGTGCCACTGCCAGACTAAAGGAACACAAAGGTTGATATTTGAGTTTGTGTCAAAAGAAAAGAGTTACTAAAGTATTTTAATAACATCATTTTAAAACCAAGAACTGGGAGGAAATGCTCAGGCTTCAACCGGGATGGGGTGGGGGTGGGGAATTAGGTCCCTGGAAAACAAAAATATCTTAATGGAACAATGAAACATTTGATACATCTTAGAAATTAACTATGAACTCCACAGTGAGAACATTTTCAAGGGAATTCCTTTAGCTATAAATATTTTAGTGTTGCTTTTTCCTTCTTTTTTTTCTTCAGAAGAATAATGTAATACCTGGGATTTGAATCAAAAGTCAGTAAATTAGGTGGAGATGGGGTAGGTAATAGGTGAAACAAGCTGGGCCATGTGCTAATGATTATTGAAGCTGGGTGATGAAAATATGGGGTTCAATTATACTATCTCTCGCCTTTTGTGTATGTTTAAATTCACCCTAATAAAAGGTTTAAAAAACAACCATGAGGTAAACTTTTATTTAAATACTAGAGGCCTGGTGCACGAAATTAGTGCACGGGTAGGGCCCCTAGGCCTGGCCAGCGATCAGGGTGGATCGGGTCCTTCCGGCTGCCAGCTGGGGCCTCCCTTCCCTGGCTGCCAGCTGGGGTCTACCTTCCCCAGCTGTCGGCTGCCGGCCGGGGTCCCCTTTCCCTGGCGGCCAGCTGCCGGCTGGGGCCTACCTTTCCCGGCTGCCAACTGCTGGCCAGGGCCTTCCTTCCTTCTGCGCTGCCCCCTGGTGGTAAGTGTATGCCATAGCAAGTGATCGGTCTCCCGGTTGAACTCCCGTGGGGACAATTTGCATATTAGGCTTTTATATATATAGATTTGAAAGTTCCCACATATCATCTTTTCAATCAAAAATTACTAGGTTTAGGTTATCTTGATCATCAAATGAATTCTGAGTATCAATATAAAGGGTTTCCCCCCCTAGATTTTCCTTAGTTGTACCACTGGGGGGGAAAAAACCCAACAGATTCTATGGGGACAGATAAACTCTACAGAGAATTACAGATTATGATTATGCAATGGTGCTAAATAAATCCAAATCAATAAACCATTAACATAAAGCTTAAAAGCAAACTGAAGAATGCAAGTAGGGAAGCAAAGTAATAAGAATGTCACCTACCTTCCACAGTGGACACTTGAACAAGTCAAACAGACCCAGGGGCTTTTGTTGGATCGGCACACTAATAAAAAGAAAAATACACAATATACCAATTGTACATGTTAATTCTCAATTTTTTCCCCTAATCCGTAATGTCATATCCTATGATTCAGTTGTGAATTCAACGGCAGCGTAGGCGTACTGAGCTCATAGATCCCTGCCCTGTGAGAGCACTGACACAAAGAGACAGCCTAATTAGTTCTACTGAGAAGAATGTAAATGCACATACTCAGCAGCTGCTCATTTAATTGTTGACTCAAATAGTTTAATTACTAGTTAAATACATATTTACTTTTTTCCATTATTACTTATTCCTTTTACCTGTCTGACAAAATTGATAGTCTATTCTCATAGAATTTTTAACATTTTAAATTTATCTTTCACTTAAAGCATTTTTAAGTCTAATATTTAATCACATGTCTTTGCCATGTAGATCACATCCTATACTATTATAAATGACAACTTTCAGTTTATTTACCAAAGGCATACCTAAGGATACAATTAGGAACACTAAACCCAATTCTTCCCAAATCAATGTCTGTTACATAAAATATAACTCTAAATATGACAACTGCATTTAATTCTTGCTGAGAGTGTAATCAGAACATTAATTATTTTAATTTAAGTATTATGGAGTGAGGAAAGCTAACAGTGTTATGAATATTTTAAAAATATTAATTACAATTTTGCTTGCTGTTTATTCAATTTTTTTCAAAAAGCACAACAAACATAACAATGATTTTCAAAAGGGAAGGGATATAAAAATCACCTGGGAAGATTTTTCAAAACACATATGTTCTACTGAGGCAGAAGGAACGTGTATTTTGAGAAAAGCAGCTTCCCAGATAACTGCTTAATAATACAACCCCTTGAGAACCACTAGTAAGCCTCCTAGGAGCATGGGAGGGGCAGCACAGCACAACCACACACTCAGGATTATAGTAAATCCATAGTCTGGCATATAACATGCGTTCAATAAACATTTGTTGATCAACCAAAAGACTTGTATGCATGCATATAAGCATAACCAATGGACACAGACAATAGGGGGGTCAGGGCCTGTGCTGGGAGGTGGGAGCGGGCTAGGAGAGGTCAATGGAAGAAAAAGGAGACATATGTAATACTTTCAACAATAAAGAACTAAAAATAATAATAATAATAATAATAATAATAATAAACATTTGTTGAAAGTTTAAATTTCTTAGTTTAAAATACCAAGCTCTTCCAAAACCTGGTCCCTACCTTACTGCTCTTGCCTTATCATACATTACAACAGGCCTTTCTCACTGTTAAGAAAAATTAACCAGACCTAGCTGGTTTGGCTCAGTGGATAGAGCATTGGCCAGAGGACTGAAGGGTCCCTGGTTTGATTCTGGTCAAGGGCAAGCACCTTGGTTGCGGGCTCAATCCTGTAACCAATCGATGTGTCTCTCTCACATGGATATTTCTCTCTCTCTCTGTCTCTCCCCCTCCTTTCCACTCTCTCTAAGAATCAATGTAAAAAATATCCTTAGGTGAGGATTAACAAAAAAAAAAAAAAAGAGAAGAAAAATTACCCAAAATGGAGAATAAGGTGAATCAAGAACTGTAAACCCTTCAAATGTATAATGAAACATTTTTAATAGGTCCTCCTAAAGACATTTTATTATAGTACCACTAGAAGTCGAATGCATGAAATTCATGCAAGGGGCTTGGCCTGTGCAGCCCCAGCTTCATCGGGAAAGTCGTCTGGAAGGTCGTTTAGCCATCCGGTCTAATTAGCATATTATGCTTTTATTATTATAGATTGCTTGACCTGTTGTTTACTATAGATTAGGAACCAAATTCTACTAAGTTAAGGTAAATTTGTAGATTTTTTAAAAATATATTTTATTGATTTTTTACAGAGAGGAAGGGAGAGGGATAGAGAGTTAGAAACATCGATGAAAGAGAAACATCGATCAGCTGCCTCCTGCACACCCCTTATTGGGAATGTGCCTGCAACCAAGGTACATGCCCTTGACCGGAATCGAACCTGGGACCACTGAGCCAAACCAGTTAGGACTGTAGATTTTTATTCAGTAGAGATAATTTCTGTCCAACAGGATCCAAAGGTTTTACTTCCCTGTAGGACATGAACCAATTTTGTACCTAGTTAACAATTTATTTAAATGTTCTTTCTTTAGTGTCAACATACACTCAATTCCTCAAATGCTTTTGGAATCAGCTTTACCATCCTGCTGTTTCCCTAATAGTGAGTTAAATAAATCTATGACATATGGTCATTCTATATTTGTCTGGGAGGAATGGAGTGGACAAGGAAGAATAAAAGAGCACAGTGATATTCTGACCAACAGGGCTCTATTTTTAATAGTTTTATATTGATATTTAGAAAGAGAGGAAAACAAGAGGGAGAGAGAAACATCTATGTGAGAGCACAACATCAATGGCTGTCTCCTGCATGCACCCCAACAGGGATCAAGCCACAACCCTGGCATGTGCTCTTGATTGGGAATCAAACCAGCAACCTCCTGGTGCACTGGATGACCCTCAACCAACTGAGTCACACATGGGCCAGAGCTCTAACTATTCTTGAATATGAACGCTTTGAATGTAAAACCCCTTTCCAGTTAGCCAAAGGCCCTACCTGTCTTTAGGGTAACTCACACATTTACATTAATTGCCAGGGCCATCCTAAAGGTATCTGAGTTTTTACTCAGTTGGGTCCAATTTTGTTATGTTTTTATAAGCTACATGACAGAAAGGCTAAGAAGGATACCTGCCAAACTGCTAACATTTTAGGCAGGTTCATGAGAAAACTGTTTGTGGAGGGAGACTGTTGGCTTTTCATTTGTACACTCCTGTGGTACTGGATTTATATCAACAAGAAGATGATGTATTTATAGTTTGAAAAGAAAGTCCTAAAAAGTATATTTTTAAAAAGGAAAATAACCCTATCTGGTTTGGCTCAGAGGATAAAGCGTCAGCCTGTGGACTGAAGACTTCCAGGTTCAATTCCGGTCAAGGGCACATGCCTGGGTTGCAGGCTCAATACCTAGTAGGGGGTGTGCAGGAGGCAGCCAATCAATGATTCTCTCTCATCACTGATGTTTGAATCTCTCTCTCTTCCTTCCTTTCTGAAATCAATAAAAATATATTTAAAATAATAAAGTAAAAGAAAAATAAATTAGAAAATAGCTTACATATTCATGGTTTGGGATATAATTTGCAGAATTGAAAAACTACAAATATTAGAGTTTTGTTCCTACAGCAAATCTCCTTTTTTTTTTCTCTTAGTAAATAGTAAGAAACCCTGTAACTCAATCTGGGAAAAAATAACTGTTGAAGTTTAATATTATCCTCAGATAATTGTTATAATAGTAACTATGGGCCCAATTTTTAAAAAATATATTTTATTGATTTTTTTACAAAGAGGAAGGGAGAGGGATAGAGAGGTAGAAACATCGATGAGAGAGAAACATCGATCAGCTGCCTCCTGCACACCCCCCACTGGGGATGTGCCTGTAACCAAGGCACATGCCCTTGACCGGAATCGAACCTGGGACCCTTCAGTCCACAGGCTGACGCTCTATCCACTGAGCCAAACCAGTTAGGGCTGGGCCCAATTTTTTAACTACCTAGAGTTCTTTTTAATTATGAAATATTTTTTTATTATTTTAAATGAAGGGAAAGAAATCTACAGCTAAATCACTATTACTTTGATGTGTTTCCTACCGAGTATTCCTTTCCCCCCCTTATAGTTGTAAATATACACACAGTACATAAAATTTTATAATCTAACTATTGGCCCAGTGCACGGATTCATGTACATTGAAAGGAAATTAATTAGAAGGTTGCTGGCAGGGCAGGACTGAGCGAGATGAGCCGGACATGCCCTGGAGCCAACCTACAGCAGTCCCTCCCCAGCCAGCAACAGCTGGGGCGGTGCCATGGCTCAAAGGGCATCTGCGGAGTGAGCAGGGTCCCTCTGGCAGGTGGGGTCCCTCAGCCTGGCCCTCGGGATTGGCCGAAACCAGCTCCTCGACATCCCCCAAAGGGTCCCAGAGTGTGAGAGAGCACTCTGCAAAGTTGCTGTCATACAGGATGTGGAACGCAAATGCAAGTGTGCAGTAAACGAGATTCAGGGCCGACAGTGCCCCAGCAACAACATAACCCATGACCCAAGGTGGAATCGTGCGGCCCCGAGAGGAATTGGGCTCCCTCCTCTCTGGTTCTGGGGTGCGTCACCTGAAAACCACAGCTGCCAAGTCACCGCAGCTCAGCAGTAAACCAGATTCGGGGCTGACAGTGCCCTAACAACATAACCCACGGCCGAAGGGGAATCTCGGGGCCCCACGAGGAATTGGGCTCTTTCCTCTCTGGTCCCGGGGTACATCACCCGAAAAGCACCGCTGCCAAGTCACCGAAGCTTGGCAGCTCCTGCGTTGAGCATCTGCCCCCTGGTGGTCAGTGCATGACATACCTACCAGCCGGTTGGCCAGTTGCTTAGCCTTTTATGTATATAGACTGGTGGCCCGGTGCACGAATTTGTGCACATTATAGGAAAATTAATTAGAAGAAATATTTTAATATCGCTATTCGCCCTCTCTCTATAATAGAAGTGTCAACCAAATTCACGATCTACAATGGCAGATCGAAAGGTGTGCAATTGGCGCCAGCAAGAGCTTTATATGTATCACGCATGCAAGAGTCAACTTAGCCTTTTATAAATATAGAATAAACTTGCTTAATTAGAACTGCTTTCTGATTTAGCTAAACTTTTTCAGCCCAGTAAAGCACCCCAACTTCTCTTTCAGGTAATTGTCAGCAACACAGCAGTAAGTATCAACACAAAGCAGATTATTATTGTAGATCATGCAGGGAGAACAAAGGGTAAAATATTTAACTGCAGCAGTGTTTGACTATATTCTGCACAGTGAGAAAACCTGAAGTCATTTTCAAGGTCCACTAGTTCTTCTTTTCAGTCAGATCAAGTTTCTAAGCTTTCTAAATCTCCATTTTCTGACTAATGAAAAGAAAATA